GGGGAATTTGTGAGGTGAGAGGGTATAATGGTAATGAGAAATCTTATGTCCTAAATGCTAGGGGATAATAGAACTCTTTACTATCCATTTTGGGGATTAGAGGAAAATCTATTCCCATTCATGTCCTAATCTTGGATGAAACATATATGAGCATTGATTTAAATCTTGGGACATTGAAATCCCAGTCAATTTTTTTATTTTTAAAAATCATAAATTTTTATTTAGATTTGTAAAGGTGAGATTTGATGGTTAAGCTATCTATTTTTTAATTTCAAATGTAAGATTTTAATTTATCTTAGAAAAATCTTACCATTCTGTTTACTTTAACTAAAAAGACTATATTCTCTTCCCATAACTTAGCAAAAAAATAAATAAATAAAAGATATTCATTGTTTCTTCCTTCATAAATATTTAAAGTATTAGTTAAAAGATGATTTGTAAGTTATAGTCTATAAAGAAATGCAATAAAATCATCTATCTTATTTTACTATGGTAGCTGTATTTGAAAGGTGTATAAACCAACATATATAAATCAAATAAATCAAAACAATCCGTGCGAGCATGAGCTTAATATTTGTATAGTAGAATTCCTATTAGGAGAGGAGTGTATGCATAAGTTTGCATACGTAACTGTCATGCATAATGTAAGTCCATGTTATAGGATAGAAACTTATTTGATGATAGGGGTTTTAACTAAGAACTATACTTTCAGATAAGCTATGAATGCATAGGTTGGTCATGGATAAGATTAGTATAGAATTTTTTATTCCATAATTTGATTTCTTGTAAATAGAAAAAAATCATATTAATTATTGTAATTGAATACATTAGTTATAATTGAATAACAATATAATAATCAAAAGAGTCAAGCGTATCTTTTACGGTGAAAGTTTTCTCCAAACTCCCACTTTTAAGTAGAACTAGGATTTATGCACGTGCAATGCACGTGATTAAATATTATGATTAAGTATTTTTGACTTATTTCTTTACTAAAATTTATTTCTCAGTCACATTTTGATTGTTTTTCTCACTTATGTTTTCAAACTTTACTATTGTGATTATTATTTTTTAATGTTTGTTTGAATGGGCTACGCCAAATTTACATTTTTTATGTAATAATTGAATTGATAAGAAATAACTATAATCTAAAACTAATTTAAATTTTTGCGTTATTTAGATCGGCATGAAACTAAGCTTGGCTTAAGAAGGTATAATATTATAGAAGTGAAAAACACTTGAAAAGATAATGTTATAAAAGAAGGATGAATAATTAAAGCCAATAAGACATGATGATTAATTAAAAATGGGCTAGAATGAAACTAAGGAGAGTATAAAATTTGTTACTAATCACTGATAGACTTTAGAAAAAAATTATAAAATAAAGATTAATACTAACTCTATTACACTTTTATATGATAAAAGTATCCACATAACCATATAAAAAAATTAAAAGAGTTCATGAAAATCACTTCTAAAGATTTTTGGTTTTACTCAAAAATTTAAGCTGTTTTTAAAAATATTAAATAATTTAAATTTGTGTTGTATTTATAAAGTGCCTTGATGGAGATGTTTTTGTTGTAGTAGCTTGTTCTGAATGAGCCATGCATACTAGCTCTAAAAGTATAATATTTTTTTTATCGTGTTATATGGATGTTTACTTGGTTTGCTTATCTATCTCTTATTTCTTCAATAAGTTGATATATTATTAACACAATTTAGGATGACATGCATATCTTTCATACAAATTTGAGACATGTATAAGATAAATTTTACATTTAGTGGCCTTTAATAAGAATTTTAGTTGTAAAATATGTTACATTTATATTTAAAGATCTTGAACTCTGACAGTACTATTACATGCTTATCTTTGATCGTGTTCTTAAAATTTGATCTTTCGTTGTTAGTCATATCCCCAAATAAGGATACTTGCAGAGTCGTGCCACTATATAGAGAAAAGAAAAATATCAATTTTAATTTTTTTACTTACACTATGGTAACTAAGTATCATGTGCATATTTTTTATCAATTATAGTGATTTTTCTCATCTTATCTAGTTTATTATATCTCGCAATGTAGTTGATCAATGGCTTCACTTTAGTTTCTATTATAAGATTATTTATATAAAATTTTATATTAAGTTTATGATTCCTTCAGTATTTTTAGAATAATGAAAATTTATAAGTACTTACAAATTTTTCTTGTACTTTTCATGAATAAGGTTTTTTTAATTAGGACATAATTGTTCAATATGTTCTTCAAGGAGAACTCGGTTAGTGCTTCTTTGCTTGATATGCTTTTTATTAATGTCAATTCAGGTGATTCATGAATGTTTCTTAATTTTGAGTTTATTTCCTTCACCTCTCCATTTGAAATAAAAATAACTTAGTTCTTTTAAAGGATATCTCTGAACTTTCCGATAGTTTCTCCATACATAACTCCTTGTATTTTTTTACTTTATAAATAAGTATTATTAATATTAGAGATAAATGTTTATACATTATAATCAATTAATGCTAACCTATTATATCTTAATGTAATAATATCAAACATTTTCTATTTTCTTTGCCAAATTTTAACCTTTTTGTGATTTAAACTTTTGAGTGTGTGTTTTACAATTTTTAAACTTTGATAGTATTGTATAAAAATTTAAAATTTTAAGTTGAGCGCTTATAATTTTCATGTTTCATGTATTGGTGATAACTTTTTAAATGTTAGAATATTTCTAGTAACTCTGAAAATTGTAAGTTATTTTTATAATTACTAAAATTTTGAGTTGTTTTTTAAAAATTTTAATTTTTTATTAATCTGCAGATATTTTCTAAATTTGATGTATACCAGTTATAAGTTTTAACATTTTGGATTTTTTAAATAATTTTTTACTTTTGAGAGAGTTTTTGTAATTTTTGTACATTTAAGGTTATTTTTTTTACTAATTTTAAATTTCTATGTGCCAAATGGTAACCCTGAAATCCATCTATGTTATTTCTAAGTTTTAAAATCTCTGAATTTTAGAATATTTTTTTTGTAATTTAAACATGGCTAAATGATACTTATATGCCCTATTGTTTTACTCTTGTAGTAGTTATATACCCTAAGTTACAAAACATAGCAAAAAATACCCTGGGTTGGTAACTGTTTAAATTTAGCTAAAGGTGTTAAAAAATACATGAAAGAATAATAATGCCCCTCCTTAAGCATTAACCCCCCCCCCCCAACATAGTGAAAGCTCTTATTTTCTACTGTTACTCATATTAAAGAGGAAGAAGAAGTTGGAGGCCATGAAAAGATGATGATGATGAAAATAATCTAATTTGCATGGTGGGGGTTGAGGGGGGTTGGGGGGTATGTAATACAGTAAATAATACAATAAATGAGGATAAGAAGTATTCAAGTTGGTCAATAAATAAGGGTAAGACGTATCAAGTTGGTCATAGGTCCAGCACGTGGGAATATTCCAGAGAATATTCTCATAGCTGGTTAACAGAAGGTACCAACTTGCAAATTTTTGCAACTCAGGATAATATTTTGCTATATTTTATAACTTAGGGTATATAACTGCTTTAAGAGCGAAACACATAGGGTATATAAATGTAATTTAGCCTTTAAACTTTTGAGGTTGTTTCTATAATTTTTAAAATGTTGATGGTGCTAATTATAAGTTTTAAATTTTTAGATATCATGTTTGTTTTTAAGTTTTAAAAAGTCAATGTGTTTTGTGTAATTTTAAACTTTTAAGGCTATTATATGTAATTTTTAAAACTTTTGGTTTTTTTATAATACTTCATGTATTATAATATGTTATCTACGTATAATTTTTTAATCTTATTTTTTCTATAATTTTGAGTTATAGGTAGTTCATATGGAGTTAATATATGATATAATTAGTATTTGGATAGATTAAGATTTAAGTGAAATATTCAAAATAACTTTTTTTTAAATTGTTGACCTATAGATAGTTCACGTGGAATTAGATAAGATTAAATATTCAAAATAACTTTTTTTTAAATTGTTGACCTATAGATAGTTCACGTGGAATTAGATAAGATATGATTAAAATTAGAATACACGTGGAATTAGATAAGATATGATTAAAATTAGAATAGATTAGGATAACAATGTAATATTTAAAAAAAGATAAGGGTAATACTGACCATAGAAAGATTTTTCCGAACTCGTGCTTTTAAAGGGAGTATGATATGATTTTTTATTCCATAATTCGATTTCTTGTAAATAGAACACAATTCATATTAATTTTTGTAACTGAATACATTAGTTATAATCGAATAATAATATGATGATGATGAGAAAGAATGCTTGCTTGGAGTACATTAAAAACATTTTTATGGGTAATTAATTTTTTATGATATTTTATTCTAGAAACTTTTTTTTTGGTACCTGAGAATTCTTTCTTTGAAATATTCCAATTGAGCACGCATAATAGTTTGAGTTCTCATCTTACTTTCTTTGTAGGTATTTATCCTTCATTTTTTTATATGTTACTTTCTTGGTAGGTATATATCCTTCATTTTTTGTACATTCCGTACCGAAACATAACAATTAAAAAAAAGGGGGTTTTGCTTTTAGACCCATTTGTTTACTCCCATTTATTTTTAAACCCAAGTACTATTATTTATATTTTTAAGCTCAATTCACCTTTCGTATTTATCTTTAAACCCAATCTTCAAAATACTATATTTTCACCACTTGTTTTTATATTTTGAAGATTAGGTTTAAAGATAAATACAAAAGATGAATTGGGCTTAAAGATAAAAATAATAGTACTTGGGTTTAAAGATAAATAGGAGTAAACGAATGGGTCTAAAAACAAAAACCCCTTAAAAAAAACCTTTGCTAATCACAGCTTGAGACTAGATTATTTTAAGATAAATTGCTGATAACCTTCATTATTATGCCTTAAATAATGTTTATCATTTCTGAACTCGTTTAGGAGTAATCACACTCTTAATGTGGTCGAAAAGGATATTATACGGCCTGCAGTATATGTTTCTCAAAATGGCAATCACACGGATAACAAGTGTTATTAGAAACAAGCTGAGGGATGATACTGAAAAGTGCAGAATATATACAATTTACTTTTTGTTATAAGTCGCCATAAATATACTACAACTTCTGCACAACTTCGATACAAGACACATCGAAATCCTACATATTTGTGTCTCAAGGTAACAAAGTAGTATAAGTACCTTTGTATTTAACATTATCCTGTTTATCTTCCAAATAAACAGTGGGCTTTTGGCCCCTACACCTGCAGGCCCAATGAAGCACTGTCTATGGCTCTATCCTCCATCTCAGCACTCGCCTTCAACGCCTCCTTCTTATAATTATACCCCCTCGCCATCCAAAAAAACGCTGCCAGATTCAACACTGACATCACCATTATAAACCCATAATAGTAATCCAAGTGGGAGTCATTTAAATTGTTCCCAATCCAACTCTTTCTTCCTCCTCTCTTTGATAGTTTGTCCACCACTGTCACCAAGAAGCTGTTCATGAAGTTTCCGACGCCGATCCCGCTTGTGAAGAATGTTGTACCTAAGCTTCGCATCTCTTCCGGTGACTGATCGTAGAAGAACTCGAGCATTCCGATGGCGATGAAGACGTCGGCGATACCGAGTAGAATGTATTGTGGTAGGAGCCAGAAGATGGTCATGGGTACAATGTCTTTTGGTCCGTCTGTATTGTTTTGCTTGATTACCTGCGCCCAAAAATAATTTCTCTTATCAATCGATTGAAATGAGGAAGATGATGTCTTGTAGTTACTGCTGTCAAAACAGGAATATAATAATAGAAAATCCAAATTAAAGAGTTAAAAAATTCAGATCTGATCGGGAGCAATCGTGATGTCAATGCCCTAGAAGATTGAGGACCCGCCTATCGACCTGGCGCAATCTGTCCCCTCCCCTAGTGGTAAAAACCCCCGAAATCGGCCGACCTCTGCACTCGGACGTGAGTCACAGAGCTTATGCTCAGACGAAAATGGTTGCCCAAAATATAAATGTAAATATGTAGCCAAAATATTCTTGGAAAATTGAGAGTAGAGAAAGAAGAGAGCTTAGAAGTTGTTTTTCTCTTCGTTGGTGTGCTTCTGAATGAGCTCCAAGCCTGCTTATATAGGTGAGGAGAAGTGTAACCCCCGCTGAATCCAAGGAACCGTTACACAATAATCTTGCTTCCATTACCCGCATGCAGCCGTTACAAAATGTCTAAAACGTGCAAAAATAAAAGCTTGAGAAGCAAAAATGTGTGCGGTGTGGCGTGGCGCGCGCGTGCGGGCGAGGCGTGGCGTGGTGAGGCGTGGCGTGCGCACGTGCGTGTGAGATAGATATGCAAAGCCCACAAAATCCAAAACACTATTCAAAGCTCAATAAGGAGAGAACCATTATATACCCAATACTATTCATCTCATTTTCCAATGTGAGACTATTCACAAAGGTAAAATTGCCTTTTCATGAACAAAGCATCCAACAGTCCCCCCCCCAAAGGCAATATTGACTGAAAATTCAAAAATAATAAATCAATAAATAAATCACAAAATAAATATAGGTTGGGCAACCTTTGGTATCATGAATTCGGGAGAGACAGCTTTCGGCTTTGAACCTTTCCTTAGTGAGTTCATCGTCACCTGAGGGACATAATGGACTAGGCCTTGAATTAGGCCCCTTGGATCAGGTATTGATAAAAACACACACAATACGTTTTTATCTATTGAGCTAAGCGGGTTGAGCGTTAAAGATCATGCTCATAAAAAACCGACTCATAAGAGTTTCTAGGGGTCAGCCCTGCCCCCCTAACCGCGACCATCACGGTTCCTCTCACGTAGGTAAGTCCTCAAATGGTACTATATCTGTTTATTTAATATCCCCCACAATACACATGTTGGACTTATTAAGAGTAAAACTCAGCCTAGCCAGCTGTATCATAAGAGCATCGTCATCATAGAGAAGGGGTAGTAGCAAATGCTACATAATGATATTTAAATATATCTAGGTCGATGCTCCACACGAGAGTCACTTGTCCAGCTTGTTTCTACCACATTGAACCGACATTGGGACTACGTCTCCAAATAAGGGTTGGGTTGCCGCTGTTAGTGACCTCATTTATGGGCTTAACCTCATATCCCTCGATGAATCCAGAACCACACTCCTGGATAATCCCTTAGTCAAAGGGTCAGCAAGATTTTTCTCAAACTTTACAAAGTCCAAGATCACAACTTTGCCTAACAGGCGTTGTACAGACTTATATCTTATTTGAATATGTCTGTTATGTTTTTTATTTACATGTACTTGCTTTAGAAGCTCTATGGTAGATCTAGAATCAGAGTGAATGGAAATAGGAGGAGAGGGTTTAGGGACCAAAGGAAGTTCAGAGAGAAGATCTTTTAACCATTCGGCTTCTGTGCAAGTAGTATCAAGAGCAATCAATTCAGACTCCATGGTGCTCCTGGCAATTACAATTTGCTTATAAGATTTTTAGGATACAGCTGCACCACCAAAAAGGAATACATATCCAGATGTAGACTTTATACTGTTCGAATCCGTGACCCAGTTGGCGTCACTATACCCTTCTATAGCATCAGGGTAACCAGTGTAAGTCAAGCAATAGTTAATTGTGCCTTTTAGATATTTGAATACTCTTTCTAAGACAGTCTAATGATCTTTGCTAGGGTTGCTAATATACCGGCTCAGTCTCCCTACAGCATAAGCTATATCGGGTCTGGTCCGGTTGGATATGTAAAGAAGAGATCCAATCAGCTGAGAATACCTCAGCTGGGAGACGGGATCATCTTCATTCTTCTTCAAGGATATAGAAGAATCATAAGGAGTGGAAACAGGTTTAGAGTTATGAAAGTTGAATTTGATTAGCATTTTCTCAATGCTATGGGAAAGACTCAAAGATATTTCTCTAGTGTCTCTAGAGATTTTTATTCCAAGTATCATGTCTGCAAGACCTAAGTCTTTCATATCAAAGTTTTTAGAAAGATAATCCTTAACCTTTGAAATTAATTCAAGTGTTGTTCCAAAGATAAGGATATCATCAACATAGAGACAGAGAATGACATAGTCATTGTTTATCACTTTAGAATAGACACATTTATCGTGTTCATTCACAGTGAAGCCATATTGTGCAATGACGTTGTCAAATTTCTGGTGCCATTGTTTAAGAGCTTGTTTAAGACTATACAAAGATTTAACAAGCTTACAGAGTTTGTTTTCCTGACCCTTGGCAATAAGGCCTTCAGGTTGGTGCATATAGATCTCTTCATCTATATCACCATTCAGGAAAGCAGTCTTGACATCCATCTGATGTATGATTAGCTTATGGATAACAGCAAAGGCTAATAATACTCGGATAGTTAAAATTCGGGTTACAGGAGAATATGTATCAAACTTTTGTTGAGTATAGCCTTTAGCTACTAATCTAGCTTTAAATTTATCTATGGAACCATCAACTCTGAGTTTCTTCTTGAATATCCACTTACAACCAATAGGTTTACAACCTGGAGCTAAGTCGGTGAGTATCCAAGTATGGTTTTCCATGATAGATTTAATTTTATTATCAATGGCTTCTTTCCAGAAAGGAGATTCAGGTGAATCCATTGCTTCTTGGAATGAACTTGGATCACCTTCAACAAGAAAGGTAAGGAAGTCTTCTTCAAAATTCTTTTCGATTCTACCTCTTTTGCTTCTTCGAGGTTCAATATCAAGAGGTTGAGAAGAACTGAAGGATGGTAGATCAGAAGGAATGGATAATCTGGGATTTTCCGAGATTTTAGATTTGAAAGGAAAGAAGTTTTCAAAGTAGACTGCATCTCTTGCTTCAATGATGGTATTGTTGGATATGTCACTGATTTCAGAGTTGATGACTAGAAATCTGTTAATATTGCTATCTAGTGCATATCCAATAAAAGCAGCATCTACAGTCTTAGAACCAATTTTCCTCTTCTTAGGTTCGGGAATAGCTACTTTAGCCAAGCAACCCCAAACCCGGAAGAAATTCAGATTAGGAGATCTCCCCTTCTAATATTCATAAGGAGTTGTATCGGAATTTTTCTGGAGAATCCTATTAAGAATGAAGCAAGCAGAAAGAAGAGTTTCACCCCAGAGATTTTCAGGTGCTCCTGAACTGAGTAACATACAGTTCACCATGTCCATTAGGGTTCTATTCTTTCGTTCAGCTACCCCGTTAGACTGTGGTGTATAGGGAGCAGTAACCTCATGAATAATACCATATTCTTAGTAATATTCAGTCATATGATTTGAGGTATACTCCCCCCCACGATCAGATCTTAGAATCTTGATCTTCCTGTCAAGTTGGTTCTCAGATTCAGCTTTGTACACCTTAAACCTATCTAAGACTTTATCTTTAGTTTTGAAAAGATATGTATAACAATATCTGGAGTGATCGTCTATAAAAGTCACAAAATACCTCCTACCCCCTCGGATGAGAACTCGGTTTGAGTCACACACATCACTATGAATTAATTCGAGGGGTTCGAAGTTTCTAGTTATAGACTTGAAGGGTTTTTTAGTGTGTTTCCCTTGAACACAGATTTCACACTTAGATGAGGTATCATGAGAAGATTTGGGAATAAGGTTTAATTTACTCATTCTCTACAAGGTTTGAAAATTGACATGTCCAAGTCGTCCATGCCAGACATCACAAGATTCAACAATTTGTATAACAGAAGACTCGAAAATTTTATTAGAACTGGAATTGATTTCATTAAGTTTGAAAAGGTCATTGCAGATAAAACCTTTTCCTATGAAAATATTATTCTTTGTAATCACAAATTTGTTGGATTCTTTTACAATCCTATAACCATCTCTAAGAAGAAGAGATTCACCAATCAGATTGCGACGGAGAGAAGGAACATGATAAACGCCTTGCAGATGAAGAGCTTTCCCAGAAGTCATGGTGAGCTCTATACGTCCACTTCCTATTATTGATTTAGTGGAGTCATCTGCTAAGCTTATGCTTCATCCACTTGATTCCTGATAATTTGAAAACCAAGAGCGATCATTACAGACGTGGATATTTGCTCCGGAATCCAAATACTAATCAGTGGAAGAAGTTATAGAATTTACAAGATAAGATGAATAGGCTAACCTGAAAAAGGTTGGATTCATTTCAATCATATTAACTTTGTTGGATCCATTTCCTTTAGGAACAGGTTTAGCCAGTTCCTTCTTCCGAAAAAAACAGTTGGGTGGTTGGTTCTACCATAGACAAAGTAGAACTTTCTATCAGACTTATGGCTGGAAGAATTAGGATTTGGTTTGAAGGAAGATTTGTTGAAAATTTGTTGATTTTTCTTGAATTTCTTCCCTTTGGGTTTAAAATTCTTAGATTTAGGCTTATCCTCTACCAAGTTTACTTTAGCTTTTGTTTCATTCTTGGTGTTAGAATTTTGCCTATGCTGGTCTTCAATACGAATAGCCTTGAGGGCTTCAGTTAAGGTTAGATCTTCTTGCTTGTGTCGGAGATCTCCAGCAAATCTAGACCGGGAGGGAGGAAGTTTATCAATCAAACAGGAAAATTTATAATCATCAGTAAAAGTGTTTCCTTTTGATTGGAGATGACGGAGGAAATCAAGGAATTCAGGAATTTGTTCATTAATGGGCTTGTCATCAACCATCATGAACTTATTGAAGGAGGAGGAGGTGAAACACAGAATTCCGGCATCATCATAGCCATATTCTGCTTTAAGAGCATTCCATAGGTCTTTTGCACTTTTGAACTCATAGTATATGTCATAAAGGTTGTCCGCAAGTACACTAAGAATCCTATGACAATAATGATAGTTGATTTCTTCTGATTTCATAGAGCTAGAAAAGGAGCTAGCACCAGAACCAGAAGTGGAAGGAGCACGCTGTGCAGGATCAGGAGTCAAAGGTTGAGAACCACTAGTAGAAGACTCAGGAGTGTCAATAGCAGATAAAATACCTAAGGTAGTGAGCCAGTATTTCATCTGATTAGCCCACCATTTATAGTTGACACCGGTGAACTTCTCAGGTTTGATACTTTTTGAATGATCAGGAATTGCCATAAGTCCAATTTGATTTTACTAGTCGAGGTAGATGTAATCTGATCAAATAAAGGATTTTATCAACACTACTAGACCAGAAACTTAATTAAACTTGCTCTTAACCAAAAACTCTAAAAGTGAAAAGATTAAAGTTTTACTCGGGTAGTTTGGCCATGTAAGGATAGTACTAGATGTTGATCAAAGATCTATTAAGTACCTCGTTTCTTACAGAGCACTTTACACAACCCTTAAAACTTGTCTTAGACACCAACTAATCCAAGAAAACTTGAACCGGTTCACTTAAAGATTTTTTGTTTCTTTACTATATATATGAAAAGTGACAAATGCAGAAATTGAGTACAGAAGCAGAATTTTTTTTAACTAATTTAGATGCAACAAATTAAAACAATTAACTAATACAACAAGTAATTACAATATATGAAGATTCGGGTGAACAATAATCCCGATGAACAGTATTTTTTTTGGATTTAAATTAACAACAAGAAATTTTAATCAATCTTCTAGATTGATGTCAAAACAGGAATATAATAATAGAAAATCCAAATTAAAGAGTTAGAAAATTCAGGCCTGATCGGGAGCAGTCGTGATGTCACTGCTCTAGAAGATTGAGGACCTGCCTATCGCTCTGGCGCAATCTGTCCCCTCTCCCCTAGCGGTAAAAACCCTCGGGTAAAACCCCCCGGAATCGGCCGGCCTCTGCACTCGGGCGTGAGTCACAGAGCTTATGCTCAGACAAAAACGGTTGCCCAAAATATAAATGTAAATATGTAGCCAAAATATTTTTGGAAAATTGAGAGTAGAGAAAGAAGAGAGCTTAGAAGTTGTTCTTCTCTTCGTTGGTGTGCTTCTGAATGAGCTCCAAGCCTGCTTATATAGGTGAGGAGAAGTGTAACCCCCGCTGAATCCAAGGAACCGTTACGCACAAATTTTGTTTCCGTTACCCGCATGCAGCCGTTACAAAACGTGTAAAACGTGCAAAAATAAAAGCTTGAGAAGCAAAAATGTGTGCGTGTGCGGTACGGGCGTGGCGTGCGTGCGTGTGTGAGATAGATATGCAAAGCCCACAAAACCCAAAATACTATTCAAAGCCCAATAAAGAGAGAATCATTATATACCTAATACTATTCATCTCATTTTTCAATATGGGACTATTCACAAAGGCAAAATTGCCTTTTCATAAACAAAGCATCTAACAGTTACACGTACTACAGTCTCATCTACGTGCAAAGTAAGAAAAAGGATACAAAAGAAAAGTCATGAGAAAGGAAATATATCTGAATAATGTTTATAATTATAACAATTATATATCATTTGAATCTATATTGTTTTGATAACATATATTAGGATAAGTTTAACGAAACCCTAACACTTTTTTCTCACCAAACACTTGAACTTTGAAGTGTCTCACGGAACCCTGCTAAACTTTCAAATTTTCCCACGGATCATAAGTTATGTACTCAATCAAAATAATGGTCATTGATGCCGACAAGACACTTTAGGAAGTCGAAAGTTTATGGAGATTCCCTTAAAGTTCAAAGGGATTTAGTGGAATAAAAAAGTTTAGGGGTTTTGTAAGAAATGCTCGAAGTTCAAGAAGTTTTTGTGAAATTCGACCTAGAGAAAATCAATTTGGGATAAATTAGCCAATGGTTAGATTTCAAAGTATATTTGCAAATTGGTAAACTTGTAGGTTATATATGCGTAAAAAAAAAATCTCGCGCTTCAGCCATTTTAATATCAACGTAGAATATTCAAACTATACCTGCATTCTCTTGAGCTCGACGAAGTAGGCCACCCCGGTAACCAAAACCTGGAGTACAAACCCAATACCCAGCCTCTGTAACAAAGTGATTCCCCGCGCATTACCCGTACGCCGACGCATAAACGACACGAAATACCGATCATAAAGAGGAACAGAGATGAGCATCGAGAAAGTGATGAAGCTGCTGAGCGACGCTGCAGGCATCTGGAGGCTGCCGAGGGAGCGGTCGAGGGTGGTGCCCTGCTTGACGAAGAGGGTGTTGACCTGAGCCCAAATTGTGGTCGGGATCAGGATTGTGAGCCAGACGAGGAACATGGAGATGACTAGCTTGGTTTCTTCCACTTGAGTTACTGTGAAAGGGTTGGGGGCTTGTCCTATGGCCGCTTTGTCTAAAAACCTGTTTTTGGAGAAAACAAGAGCAATGTGTTTGGGATTTCACTAGGAGAAAGAAAAAGGAAAGGTGAAATAGGGAAAGGAAAGAGAGAGAAGGGAAAAGAAAATATGATATATTGTTCGGAAGCTTAGTAATTAAGGAGAATTTATGGGAACTTATTTCATCATGTTGCAAAGTTCTAAATAAAAAACGGGGAGAGACAAAATAGTTTCATGATCAAATTTGAACCGTTGATTCATAGTGATAAAGAACCAAACATTATATCTTTTAAATTTATTTTCCCTACCCTCATTTACACCCTAATTTGGAGGGGAACAAAACCATAACTTTTTTATGAAAATTTTGCTTCCCCTTCCCTTCATTACCTTTCTTTGGAAAACTCCCAAATAAAATTAAGTGTTATTTTTTTTCTTTTATTACCCTTGGCTATTCCTCACCCAAACACACTGGGAAGATTAAAGAACCATAAATGCACATACTCGTTTAGAGCGACCGTACGTACGGTTAAAAGTTTGGTCTCTCTGCCACGTTTTGTAGTAATTATTGATTATTTAGATCTGATTGTGATAAATTTAGTATCATCAGAAGTAATATGTCCTCATGCCTACTTCCAATTTTTACTTAAAGACTAATCATAACCATCAACCTAATAACAAACAACTACCCCTTGCTAGTGGCCTAGTGTTTGGGCTTCGGGTCTTGGTTCACAAGGCTTTGTCTATTACATGCACATCCATAAATATTTTTTTTAAGTATTAGGCGTTGCAATACCTATATTATGCACTTGGATTTGAACTAGGAAAAAAAAACACAATCTCTCCGAGTACTTTTTTTTAATAATGGAAAAGATCTTGACTCCATTTAAAACTATAAAGTATTCAGTCTTTAAGCATAAATTCCAACAAAAGTGAAAAAAAGGTCTGTGCAGGAGGAAAAGTAAATCACTTAGAGAAAGTAAATTACTTACTTTCATAATAAATTAATTTTGCATTCAAAAGTATGAGACCAACTATCAAAAAATATCTCAACTGTAGTCATTAGTCTTTGTTGAAATCCTAAGAAATTGACATGTGTCACATTGTCTTCTGGTTGGTCCCATAAATTTTGGATTAAAAAAAATACTCTAATTCTATATATATACAAAGGTTTGAATGAAATTCTAACTTTTCCCAAATAATTTTAGCTAGTATTGATAAATATGAGAAGTAGCATCGATGGTTAGTGAAAAGTCATCCAGACCCATGCAAGGTACGCGCGAAATTGTGGTGTTGAATTGATTGATCTGCGTTTTTCACGTGGTCAATAAGTAAAGTAAACAATTCACTATTTCAAAAGGAGAGCTTAATTATGATTATGTCCATCCATTGGTCACACTAGACTACCATCTAAAAGCTTGCATCAAACAAAATTGCACGCAGGCTCATTTGTGTTAACATCTCTAAACTACAATGTGAGATCAATACTTTCCCCTTGTTTAGTATTAGCAAAGTACCCCCCGAAAAATTAGTCCAACAAAATATTACCTTGGATGTTGACATTACACTTTGAACAATTTTGATCTAAAAAAATATCTACTTTTAGTTTTATTTAAGTTTATGGGTCATATTATCCGAGACTGTTATCTAAACTAAAACAAACACCACGCATAAAATACAAAGAAAAATTACCTAAAAGCCGGAGTATGATGCAACTTTCTCTTCCCACTGATCACATACTGCTCATCTTCTACCTCATAAAGCTCCTCCAAATCATCAGGCAACTTTAGCCCTCTATTACCAAATGCAGCTATTAAAACTCTAACAATCTCTTTACCAGGGCTCTTGCTGTTCCTCACTTTATGCCTATAGTTTGGAGTCCCAACATAAAATATCACCAAAGATACCAAAAGCCCAACAGTAGGAATCCCATACCCAAGGGCCCAGCCCACATTCTCCTGTATGTACACGAGGCCAATGGTGGCAATAAGCGCACCTAGAAATGAACCGAACATCCACCAGTTGAAAAATGAGGCCTTGAGCCTCTTTTCATTGGGGTCGAAATCGTCGAATTGGTCGGCGCCGAAGGTGGAGATGTTGGGCTTTGTGCCGCCAGAGCCCACAGCCATTATGTAGAGCGCCGTGTAGAAGAACGCGATTTGCGACCGTTGCGCGTTCTCGCACAGCCCATCAGTGCAGGTGGGCCTCAATGATTTGATTGAGACAGCCATCGTCAGGAGGACCATGCCCTGTTGAAGAAGCAGCGTATTTGTCGGTATATGAGCCCAAAGCCTATTGACATGACTAGCACATTTGCACGTGTAAAAATATCTTATCATATGAGTAATCTTATATTTTCATACAATAGTTTGATGATAATTAAATCTTGGGATTCCTTAACATAGTTTTGTTAAGTAGTTTTCTAATTGAGGGTATCACAATTAAAGTAAGTGATTAAAATAAAAAAAATAGAAATATTACAAATTAATTATGTGTGTATTGTAATTTCATTTTTTAGAATGTTCTAGAAGTAATAAAGGAGAAAAGAAATGAAAGAAAATAAATTATCATCTTGAAAATTTACAATTTTAATTATGGGACAGTTAAATCCTATTATTATGTCATGACTTAGAATTTTCTAGAAATAAAAAAATGAAAAAAAAGGAAAAGCAAGAAATCTCTTACAAAATTACCATTTTACCCTACAAATTACAATAAGGAGGAAAACATTTATCACTCATCCAACTTTCAGTACCCTCACTATGTTCATTATATAGTAGCATAGATAGATGTTTGGAATTGTAATAGCAATATTTTATGCAATTGAAATATCTTGATCAAGTAAAGTTGTTGGTTTCATTACAACTCATAGTTGCAACCTTTTTAAGTCTCAAGTAGGATCTAAGTCATAACTCCAATTGCAATTAATCTGCAACATATGTATAAAAAAAAAAATCAAACATCACAAAATGATCACCCACAACTACAGCCGAAAGCAGAAAATCTAAAACTAAACTAAGCAATGATTACTAACAACGGAAAATGCTGAACGTACTACAGTAGTTGTATTACTCTTGTACTATTACACAAAAAAAAAAAGCAGAGATTATGGCAACTCATAATTTCAGTAACATGTAACAACATTTGAGACTACTGCACTTATATATTTTGCAATTGAAGTTGCATATTTAACTTGACAACCTCAAAGTCGTGGCATGAGTACCGCTGTCTTCATCAATTTTATTTGGCGGAAACTACTCCTTAGGTCTTTTTGGACTACAAGTCAGAAACTATTTAAGTCAGTGCAAGTAAGGACAAAAACGGAGTTGATAGGCTTATGTTGCATTTTGTAACCCCATGTCTATCATGCGTACATTGACGCTGGATTTTATCAGACTCCTGCCTAAAATTCAGTGGAAAAAAGCTAAAGATTTGCTTTATAAACATAGAAAGAATATATATGTGTGTGTAAAATATTTACTTTATTAGATGTTAAATCGACTTCATGATTGACTCTAAAAGACCTAGATTCAAATCCCCCACTAAGATTTTTATTGTTATAAAACACAAAAAGGAGAAAACATAACAAAATCACGAGTTAGTTTAGATGAAAATGGAAAATATTTCTTGACTACTTCAATGTGGGGAGGGGGTAAAGTGGTTGGTAATCCACCTAATCGGTTTTTCATAAGAAAATCAATAAAATGTTTCACACTTTTAAGTGGTCCGTGGAATAAAAGGAATCTTCCATCAATATTGCAACTACATGAAATAAATATGGCAACCATGGCATAATCTATCAACCTCGTTACCAAATTAAAAATACAAATTTCTAACGAATAAAGGGCTAATAAAATAAAATAACTTGATATTAAGCTTACCATGACGTAAATAAGAGAAGAGACGGTGAAGGTCCAAAAGCGGCCCAAATACGAGTCAGCAAGGTAGGCCCCTAGAATGGGCGTGATCCAGACCGAGCCAGACCAGTTGTTAACATTTCTAACGGATGAGACTGTGTCCTCATGAAGTTGGGTAGTGAGGTACACCACCAAGTTTGAAGCTACTCCATAAAAAGCCATTCTCTCAAATGCTTCATAACCTGCCTTATTCAAATCAAATCAGTAAGTTAAGGGAAAAAGTTGTTGGTGAGCTACATCTCGTGGTATAATTAATTTGTAGAAAGCTAGATTATTAAGTTTTATATTTCCGATCATACAAGCTATGAAAATTCTTGTTTAGAAAAAGAGCGCCTAGGAGTTAGTTCATGTGTTATTCACGCGACACATATCTCAATTCACGGTCCAAATTGTAGACACATACATAGTGTAACTAACAGTTTCATTGAATCATTGGATATCACATGATCAGTGACATACCACCTAACATCATACACGAACATTCAATTACGTCTACTATGTAAAAAAAGGTAACGGACATGTAAACTTGCCTACTAAGAAGAAACAAGCTCTCCATCTTCCGGTTCGAGAGGCGAGGACTGGACGGCCATGGAGATCGACGGAGCCATCTTGTGTGTAACCTTTGTTTTCCATTGTTGTTGTTGGGTGGGAATTTTTATTTTTATTTTTTTTTTTTTTTGGGGGGGGGGGGGCGAGAGAGGGAGAGGGAAGAGAGCACTTCCCTAGTGAGGCAGTCTATCACTTAAATAAGCAGAGAGGAAGTATTTAGCAGTTAGACTTGTTATTGTGCTCATTTTAATCGTTTTGTCCACTCGCAGAGCTTATGATAAGGAGTGATATTTGCACGTAAGTTTTCTTCGTTCTGTACTCCATATCCTCCCCACTTGTGTGTGTGCCGTTGGGATTATTAGAAGGATGCGTCTTTCTAGTGAACAGTATACGTAATGAGATCCTCTGCAATTACGGAATTCTTAGGTGCTCCATGAGCATCTTGTGGTATATGGAGTAGACATTGTAGCATAATAAGAATTATTTATTTCTATTACATTTTTATTTGCATATAATTTGTGCCATATGATCTATATTCTTATCGGTGTGATGTCTGCCACCTTTGTACTCATTGAGCACCTACGAGTTTTTCTATTGAATTAGGTGCTAACGGCAGAAAGTCATATTATCAGAAGCTTTACTTTCCCTTCACATTTTAAAGGATGCTTTTTTGGTGGGAAAATTGCAAGAAGAAAATGGAGAATCGAATTTGTGTTATTCTCTCTGACAGACTCAGAAAAAGAATTAATTACAATTCTCTCGATACAACTTCTTTCTAACAGACTTAGAAAAGAAATTACAAATCTTCTCGATCGGTTTTTCGATTTACAAAAGAGAGAAGTGTTGACGGAGATCCTTTCCTTTGTTTAAAACTGGGTTCTTCTTGGTGTCGATGAGATGCCTCCCTCGAAACTCATGTCGAGTTCGCTTCTCGTTGACAATCCGACGTTTCACCTCGTTGGAACAAAGTCTACTCCTTTTGGATTTGATATTAAGGAGAACTTGTGTGGCAAGTTTGAACAGAACTCTTAACGAGTTTGAGAACTCAGAACGAGTTTGAAAGAACTCTTTGAAAGAGTTGATTAATTTAACCGAAATCGGTTTGTAAGCCAAGGTTGATGAAAGCTCCAAGAATAGTTCCGAGGGTCTAAAGATTGTCGAGATCCTTCTTCTGCCAAGAAGCCTTTTGTCGATCTTAATTCTCCAAAAATTCCCCTCCAAAGGACCCGCCTTAATTAAGCTAAAATTTTAGCTATTTATAGGAGATTAAGGGGTGTAACCCCCCCTTAATCCGTTCCTATGTGGGGGCGGAAATCCCTCAACTCGTGTTTGAACGAGTCAAACGTAGGTCCTGCGTTGCTAGGTATGAATCATGCGTTCGAACACAGCGTCTGGAAGCTGCGTCTGCAGCGTCTAGAATCTGCGTCTGCAACTTTTGAACACAGCGTCTGGAAGCTGCGTCTGCAGCGTCTAGAATCTGCGTCTGCAACTTTTGGAAGCTGCGTTAGCAGCTAGATTTGAGTTGCGTTTGCGGCTGAGTTTGAGCTACGTTAGCAGCTAGATTACGCAGTGGTTGCGTCGTTTTGTCTCTAGAACGCAGAGGCGAGCCTCAGGTATGCTTGGCGAGCTTCAGACGAAGTCCAATGTTCAGGCGAAGTCCAGTCTTGCAGACGGACTTTAGAATATAACTTGCTGTGAAAAACATGTCATAACTTTTAAACCGTAAGTCAGAATTAGACGTGTTGATCCTATAGTTTAGATGATGATTTGTCAAACAATTTATCGCTAATATATCATCTAGTTTTGTGTTTATGTTTCTCTTTACAGGTATTTCAACACACAACAATCAAGCGTTAAAGATTCAAGGTATTTCAACACACAACAATCAAGCGTTAAAGATTCAAGTTCATATGTGTGGATTTACCTAGGTATAAGAGTAGTTTACCGTTAAAGATTCAAGTTCATATGTGTGGATTTACCTAGGTATAAGAGTAGTTTACTTACATATATTGTATATTTTTATTTAAGCTCAATATATGTACACTTAACACGATTTTTGACGTTTTCTACTAAATAAATAATTTTTCATCAAACGTCGTTACAATATCTTTTATCTCATGTTTACAACTCTTTCATACTCTATTATATATATATAATACATGCATGAGATATATTTACGTATTTATGAGTCATATCAAAATTTTCATATTCGTAAAATACAGGTTTCACGAATACTTTTCAAAAACAGTGTGTTTTTGCAAACGAAAATTATTTTTCCAAAAATTCCTTTTCTAACATGTTCATTTTATCATTTAGAAACTTTTTCCAAAGTTTTATTATTTTTGGAATTGATTTGCTATTTTTAAAGATTTTTTAAAATTGGCCAAAAACAGGTTTTTCAGTCTGTATCAGATTGCGGTCGATCGCCACGGTCGACCGCCATGAACTTCTTTTTAAGTCTGGTCTTTTTATGCCCGCGGTCGACCGTGATCCTTCCAGAGAGTTTCGCGGTCGACCGCCGCGGTCGACCGCCAGCCTTAAAACCCTATTCTCAGGATTTTTATGCTTCGCAGTCGACCGCGCGGACCGTGAGATTTTCACGGTCGACCGCCGATTTAATCATTGGTTTTTAATGACTATTTTCACAACGGCTCTCTGGGGGCTTTTTTTGTCTTTTCAAGTTGGTTTTTGGCTGATATTTGAGAGGGTATAAATACCTCATTGCTGCTCTCTTTTATAAATCTAAGTTTTGTATTTAACAAAATATTAAGCGTGTTTTAAAAGAGCTGTTTAAGCAAATTTCATCAGTCCGTTTCAATAGAAATTTTCCTATAACAAGAAGTGGCTTTCAAATCCTATTGGGATCATCATCTACTGTTCTTCTTGTTTGAAAAGTTTTTCTAAATTCTTATATAGCTTACTATTCTATTTTCATTTCATTAGCTATATTTATTGAGTTGTATTATTTTCATTCACTGATTATCACACACACATATTTGAGCTTAATATCTTCATACTATATAGTGTGGGTTGTGGAGTGTGAGTTAGTGAGTGTGAGCTTCATTTGCGTTCTCATCTGTTGTTGAGAACAAATCAATTGTATTTACCTTTATTTGTAAGTATCACTTGTAATACACTTGTACACCGAGAGAAGTGTGAGGCGAGAGACGGGATCAAATCCAATAGGAGTGGCATCGGTTGACGAACCTAGGGGGAGGTTGCATCCGAGCACTTGAGGAGGAGGACACGGGCTAGGTTCCTACACTTAGTGTGTAAAGTGTGATTGCATAGTGTTTGGTGTGTGAGAGTTTTCGGTGAACTTGTAAACCGAGTGTGTAGAAGTTCTGGTTTTCAAACCGGATTGTGATAGTGGATATCTCCTCGAGGTGAGGAGTGGGGACGTAGGTCGTGGTGACCGAACCTCGTAAACATATCGTGTGTTTGTGTTTTGCTTGACTTATATATTATTTGTGCATATTCTTATTGTTCTTATTCATATCTATCTCATATCATTCTTGCAAGAATAAATTAATCAATATTCTTTTAATTATCTTTTAATCAGGATTAGATTAGCATAAGACCCTAATCACCCCCCCTCTAGGGTCTAACAAGACGAATTATATATGAAAATTGACTATCTCGACGAGATGGAGCCGACCAAACCCACCGAAAGGGTTTTGTTTGCTCATGTTTGTTTTTCCAAATTCCTTACGATTTGAAAGATAACTACGTTTTGATTTGAAGAGACCGTCAATTTGTAGTCTCTTTTGCTAGAGCATTGCAAAGATCGTCATCTTGTAACCTTCATCTTGGCTTTTTGAAAATATGAGAGTCATTAGATTGTAACTCTTGATGTTGATTATGAAGGCTGTTAAATTAGATCTTTCATCGGTTATTGTGAAGGTCGTCAGATTATAACCTTTATCGATTTACGTAAAAAATTTTAAATTATAGCATTCTGGAAGCCGTCAAATTGTAACTTTTATTATTGATGTTTGATGGGGATCAGCTATCTAAGTTTTTAGACAACCTACAATGCTATAATGTCTAACAGGATTTCTACTCTCAGAATAGTGCTCTTTAAAATAGTAGTTTTAAAGACAATAGTGGTTTCAAGATAGTTCATGATTTATCTTTGAAAACAAAAGCAATTCATGAGGTTACGTTTAGTGTTAGATTGAGAATAAATCACAATTATCCACTAAATAATAAATAGATGTGATAAAAAAAGTAGTGGATGAAAGGACTTGGATCCTCTCCGCTATTAAAAAGTAATAGAATGTCAACAGCTTTTATACAACCGTTCTTTTGTTTATGGATGATTGTGATTTCTTTGAGTTGAAATTAGAAATGAGTGTAATTATGTGGATTCGGATCCTATCCACTACCAAAGTAGCGGAGGAACAATTAAGTTATCACAATTAGTGGTCATCTAATGAATGATTATAATTTTTTCTTTCAGTACAAATTAGGAATGAGTGCAATGCATGGAGTATGTTGAGTTAGATTTAGAATAAATCACAATCATCCAATGGTCGTGATCATATCTAGTTTTGTCGTAGTTATAATATCAGCAAAATTGCATGCTTTTGGCTTTCAAAACCTTCTACAGATATAGAATTTTTGACTAATATTTTCTTTATCATGCTACGGTACAGATTAAAGAAATAAGTTCTTAAGTTTAAGTTATAATGAAATCAGTGTAACATATATGTTCCATTTGCTTTGTAAAGGTCCTGGAATTAAGTAGTTGAAACTTCAAGTCCTTTTGATAATATGAAGTACTTCTTA